ACGTTCTAATCTATCGGGACCAAGTGGATGGAGAAGGGACCAAGTGAGCAGGAAACAGGGCAGTTCTGCAGGAAAATGTCTAGATACGTCTTCGATAATGCTTCATAGTTTCCTTATAATATAAAGATTTTGATTTTTTACATTTTATTGTCCCAACTGCATATTATTTAAAAATGTGTAATAATAACAAATAATAATATAATAATATTAGTAATGATAATAACACAGTTTCCAATCTATAGAATCAATATCAGTTCACTCAGACTGCCAGAGAGGTCGCAGCCAACTAATTAAGCGAGGTCACCCCACAGGCGAGTGAGTGGATGCGTGAGGAAGGTGCGAAGTAATTAGAAGTGTGGAACAGTGGAACTAAATACCGACTCCCCCAGAGTATACGGCATACACCCTACGGATACACATTACCCGAGAGGCGCACGCACTTTTACAACCTTTCCTTAGGTACTGAGCTACCTAGATCCAATGAAGAGTAATCTCTACCCTATAAGCATGCATTACAGATACCAGCGAACTCCTTTGAAAATTCAAATATGGGACTTTCCCAACATTTAGAGTTCATGGTTCTATGCATTTACCACATACGCACAACTGTCGAGCCACTTTTTGGACCGCAGAACCATGCGAAGTTGCAGCAGTTTTCAACAATAAAATTCGAAAGACCTGTACACCAACGCTCGACCACGTGAGTGCGTACCCTGTGAATATCCAAAAACCCCGGACAAATTCATATATGGGATCCCTTCGAGATTATTATTATTAATAATGTAACATAATATACAAGATACTTTTTGAAACTATGTATAAGCTAAGCTCCAGGATCCGGAAAAGAACAGAAATGATATTGAAGGTGAAGTGGTAATAATGATGAGAATGGGCGAGGTCTACGCCGAAATGGGAGAAGCCAAGAGTTATAATCGTCAACTCTGATCAGTACCACTTCGAAGTCGGCAAAAAAGTGATCAAAGGCCATCGAAGGAATGTATTCAAACGCCGTGACGCTGTACAACACCTGATCTGAACCCTAACACAAAACGTGATACCGGAACTCCACCATACTTTAACCCGCACATTTAAATTCGAACGGGGAGGTTTCTGGTCTGTAATAATACCGTACTCCTGCACATTCTAAATAGGATACGGAAGCTTCTGATACCGTAGTAATTCAGTAGTTTGACCTCCACATTTCAAATTTATATGATGCTTCAATAAACTACTGTACAGAGTAGGCCAAGTCCAAAAAAAAATCTCCACCGCGTTGAGAGGACTCTATAGCTTAAGGAGCAGCTGCTCACCTGCATTTGCATTCACTTTGCAACTGCAGCTCAGAGAAGAACACCGTTAACACTCCTTCCATTTTCTTAAGATTATTAACTTTTCTAGCTTCCTTACAATCGTTCTTTCCAAGAAGTCGTGATATTTCAATTCCTTTTCCGAAAAAGGCTGTCGGAAACGAAGGAGCGAATTACGCCA